GAGTTACAGTCAGTTTACAATGTTGTATCAGTTTCCAGTGTAGAACACAATTTTTCAGTTATACATGAACATACATATATTCATAGTCACATACTTTCTCACCGTGAACTACCATAAGATCTTGTATACATTTCCCTGTGCTGTGCAGTATAATCTTGTTTATCTATTCTACATATACTTGTCAGTACATACTGACAAGATAGTAGATTTTAGAATGGGGCTGAAAGCATGATAGCAGTAAAGGAAGACAAAAAGTAAAATAGCATTTCATGCAGTTATTTGCTGAAATTTTACTTTTTCAAGGAAAATAAGAGCTATATATTCTCAGTGAAGAATATTTGATTATAATGTTGTCTAAGGAAATTATGCTATTTGTTATTCTCTTGGACCTTTCACCCTCTATGTTTTTCAGTTTCCCAAGAATCTCTTTCTTGGTATAAAGCACTTTGTGACTTGATTTTGAAGTTAAAACTGGCTAATTTATTTTGTTTTTAATTTCATCGTATCTTTTAAAATAGTTTGAGATGTCTTAGGATATCAGACATTTAGATTGGAACATTTTAAGTATTCCAACCTAAATGGACATTTTAATTTTGCAGAGTATCCTGTTATTATTTATTTTATATAATTATTTCTAATATGTAGATAAATATGGTAGTATAAATTGGTTAGGTTTGTTTTATATTGAGATCAGTGATTGCAGTGTTAATCGTTGCCACATTGGTTTTGAAAAAAAAAATCTTACTTAGTTTTAATGGGAAGGCAGAAGGACAAAATGGGAATGATTTGGAGAAATTTGTAAATATTAGTTGAAATACTTGAGTGGTTTCTTCATTGGAGTAATTATTTGTGGTCTTCACTTTTTAGAAGATCATTTCAAGAAATACGCCAGTCAGATTCTGAAGGATGGGAATCTTCAAAAGATCTGAGAAGTCGCCTTGGACATTTAGAATCAGAACTTCTGTTTCTAAGTACCCTTACTGGCATCAATATAAGAAATTACTCCCAGAGGACAGAGGACATAATGAATGCTGAGATGACAGAAACAGGTAAGCATTAATTTTAATCTACAGGTGGTATTGTATTTAACCTTATTATACATAGGAAATTGGTTATCATATCATTGAATTAAAACTCTGCGTGGTAACCATTTGAATGTGTGGTTGCGGTAAATTTGTTTGGTCAGGTATCCATTGAATGTCACAGTGTGTGTAATACTCTTAAATGCTGCCTGAAGTAGACAGTAAATAAGACAGTTTCTGTCATTTAGTAACTTTAATAGGCAAGTGATTTTTTTTCCAGTTTTATTATGTAGAACCACCACAGTTTGACTGCAGACACACACTATATTGCATGCAAACACACACAAACAGTACGCTACACATTCCTTCAGTCCCCATACATGTACCAACTGTTGTCTCCAGGAACAGACCAAATCCCTGAGATAAGTGATTTTGAGAACAGCAGTGCCATTAATTTATAAATCTTAGCCATTGTTCATTACTGACATGAGAGTTTTGTCATCTATGATATACCCCTAATGTACATGGCCTGTGGCCAAGGTAAATATTTCAAGAGCTCAACCCTTTGGCAGAGGAGGGTTTGTGTTCCAATGACTTATGTTTTATTTTCAAGCGTCTGTGATGAACTAACAGGTAAGCGGAAGCTGATTCAGCTGTGCAGTTGGGTGTTGGGAACTTTGTTTAGGTGAGAGTAGCATTTCCTAAAGAAGGCATCACTTTTGGCAATGCTTCCTGATTTTTCCACCAAAATAACCCTCCGTGACCAAGGGAGAGGAAGAGTGAAGCTCAGAGGGAGTTGGGCAGCTCGTCTCAGTGCCAGTTTGATTTACATGCAGAAATGAGTATTGAAACTGAGACACTTCAGATGCTTGAAAGGAAAAGATGGAATACAGAGAGTGTAGAGAGTGAGGTTTTATTGTGCAAAAGTCGTCGCGTCTATTGCGAGCCATAAGTTCACCCCATCTGTAGAAGTAATTGATGGTGCTCATTGAGCTTGCCTTTGAGTGGGCTTGATTCTGAGCTTCCCCCAAGGCTGGCTTAGATTTCAGTTTTCCTGATCTGCCAGGTCAGTACCACTTTCTTGTGTGATATTTATCTAGCTCGTCCGTCTGATTTCCTGCTTCCAAAATTAGGTTACTCTCATCTCTCGTCTGCTTTTTATCCTTGCAGAATTGTGCCCTTTTTGAGGGGCAGGGGAGCAGTGTAGGGATACAGGTACTTAATTCTATTAGGTATAAAATACGTACAAAGATATATAGTACAACATGGGGAATATCGCTAATATTTTATAATAACTGTAAATGGATTATAACCTTTAAAATTGTGAATCACTGTATTGTACACCTGGTAACTTATATAACATTGTACAGCAACTATACTTCAATTTAAAAAAAATTGTACCCTCTAAAAATACCTTCATTAGCAAAAATAGATGATAATAAAGTCAGAATCATGATTATCTCTTACGAGGGAGCATAGTGTATATACAGCCGGGGAAGGGCATGAGGGAACTTTATGGGGCACTTTAAAATTTCTGTGTCTTGATCTTGATGATGGTTACATGGGAAACATTTGTAAAACAAAAAAAAAAAGAAATCAGGCTGCATGCCTAGAAAAGTCCTTTTGCTGTCATTTTAGTAAAGTTTTGAGAGGTAACTGAGATAAATATATGGATTTTATTTACTGTCTAACAAGAACCAGATAATGTTGAAAAAATGAAAAATGTCTAAGTTATCATGAATCAAACTTGTCTACAGTTATACTAGCATATTTCTGTTTCTTACCTTAATCTTTGATATAATTGAGAGCTGGAAAATACAGGTTGTCTTTAATCCTATGTCACAGAGGTAATCAGTTTGTTGCAGATTCTTCCAGATATTTTCAGTGCAAATACTACAAAACACTCTCAAACATATACCCACATGTATTATAGATATCCACACAAACTTAAATAACAGACATTTGAAGAAAATTATTTGCAAACGGAATATTTGTTTTTCTGATTTACAGGCACAAAGAAAGTTCTACAGAGACACAGATTATCAGGAAATTGCCACATGATTACATTTCAACTTGAATTTCAGATTCTGGAAATCCAGGTAAGTTAAGGAATATGTTGTGACAGATAACATAGAATCTGCTGCTAGGGAATAAAAAATGCCCACACCGCAGTCTTCAGGAATGGCTGAGCTGAGGAGGAATTCTTCAGCCAGAGCCCTCTTGTAGCACGTTTGTACGAAGTGGTACTGTAAAAAAAAATTTTTTTAAGTGTGAATACCCCAGCAACTGCATACGATAGGATGGATTCTGAGAGCGTAGTGCTTTATTGGAGGGCAGGTAGCAAGATGCTCTTGGGCTCCCAGTGCGAGACCCAAGGCCATGGGAACAGTCCTGGATGCCCTCAGTAGTCATATGTCAGCCATCTATTATCTAGGAGTTACCTGTTGCTATTTAACAAACTTCTCCCAAATTTAACAGCTTAACAGAGCAAAAACATTTATTATCTCACCCATTTTCGGTGCGTTAGGAATTTGGGAGCAGCTCAGTTCTTGCTCAGGGCCTCTCCTGTAGTTGTGGTCATCTGGGCCTGCTGTAATTCTGCTCAGGGCTGGAGGATTAGACTCCGGGTGGTTCACGGTTATAGCAGCAAGCTATACAGGACTGCTGCAGGAGGAAGATACTGTTGGCTAGGATTTTCACATAAAATCAGAATGCAGGCAGAATCTTAACGTGCAGCCCTTGGCCAGGATAGGACAGAACAAGGCTCTGAGATCTTCAGAGTCTGTCTCTAAGAAGAGTGGGATCCAGACATAGATTGAGAACTGACCAAGTCTGGGCACATGCTTCAGTAGCAGAAAGTAGTTTTAACCAGTTGGTTTTATGAGTTGGGCCTCCAGGGAGTGTGTATAGAGGAGAGGAACAGGGGAGGCAGGAAGGCTGCCTTGGCCTCAGCTCATCAGATAACTAAGGTGGATGCAGACCAGTTGTCACAAACAAGTCCTATGGATAAGCTGCTTGCTTGTATTTATGGGCATGTGCCTGAATTCCTCGTGCTTATTCTCAGCCACAAAAACAGCCCCAACTTGTTCCTTTTTATTTGGGACAGGGGTTGATGTCAGGTGTCAGCCAGCCACCCCTAACTGGTCAAGAGTGACTGGATCCAGGTATCTGGGCTAGAGGTTTTGCTTCTTGGGAACTCTACAGTCCAGTCCATGTCCACGGTTGTCACCGCTGACTCTGGCAGGCTGAAAGTGGACTGAGAAATATCTAAGCCCATTATCCGATGATAAAGCTTCCAGCTTGCAGCCACCTCAGAGTATCCACCTTCAGTCTGCCAGAGTGAGCAAGAACATCCACAGTGTGGCCCTAAGGGTGGTATTCTGTTCCTAGGTTGACACTAGGCCTTGTAGCCATGCTAAGTCACCAAGATGATACTGTAGTTCTGCATGACCGCAAAGATCATCTGCTGAAGACTAAAACAGAATGTGGACCCAAATGGGTTGATCTGATTTACGATGAACAGCCCCTCTCAGGACTCTAGGCTTCTCCTTTGTGTGGCCCAGGAATTCCTGGATGTTGTCTCATTGCAGAAGGATGCATAGTCGGTCCAGCTGCATTTTCTTTCTTCGTGGCTAATGTGATTCTAAACTCAGAGTGTTGATGCACCAAGTGCTTACCTGCGTGCTGGCCTCTATTAATAACCAGGCCTACAATCTATGTCAGGTTGGCAGAGTCAGAGATCTGAGGTCCATTTCCATGTCTGAGAATATCTGCATTATCAGTGTGCTATCATTGCCCCCAAACTGCTCAGGGGCATCCTAGTAGCCCTGAGGTCCTGCAGGCTTCTTCTGCTATTGGCATTCACCTTTTTTATAGTCACCCCATGGGTTATCTAGACAGAAGCCAGACTGCTGGCAAAACGAGGCTCATCCTTGGGAGGCTGTCTGCAAGTCCAACTGAAACAAGACCATCCTCTGAAGTTGAGGTGAATGAGTTGCTCAAGGGAGCTGTACATTCCAAGATACGTTGTGCCCAAAGATTAATTGGTGTTCTCATTAGTGGGACTTTGAACTGAGAGATAAAATAGACAATATTTTAAGTTCATTTTGTTGAGGTTGCATAATTTGATCACATCATGAATCAAATCAAGTATGAGGTTTGTTCTAGGACATTTTTTATAATGTGATGTACTTCTGAAGAATGGCCGTTGCCTGACCAGAGGCATTTCCAGCATAAGCTGGCACTGGGCCCCTGCAGCTCCCACAGTGGTTTGGTTTGCTGGTCTTGGGTGGCCACCATGAGGCTGCACAGACAGGAACAGAGCCACATGGGCCCTGCCATACAGGCCTTTCTACCTCCTACAGCCAGTAGTGAGTGTCACCAGCCTGGACGTCACTTCCCTGTCAACAGTATTTTAAGCTAATCTGATGCTCATACCACCAAGGCATGACTGGAAATTTTGTAACCATTTAGTAATGGCCTTAAGTTACACTATTAGCTCATATGCTGAGTGAATTAGAATTAGTTGAGCTTCACATAACAGAAAACTTTAAGGAAAGCTCAAAGTACTAGAAGTTTATTTCTCTATTGATTAGGCAAAATTTCAGGGTAAGTTTTCAAGGGCTAGTATGGTGCTTTCATTGTCATCAGGCTCTGCCATCACCCATGCAGCTTCCAAATCACGGTGCAGTTATCACTTTAGCATTTCAGACATCAGGAAAGGGCTGGGCAAACAAGCCCCTTCCCTGTCACCCCGCCCTTGCCGTAGAAAGACACCTTGCATTTTCCAGAAGCTGTACCATCCGTCATTGTCAAGTACATTCTAATGGCCAATAAATTAATGCAAAGGAGGCTGGAAATTTAGTCTTCATTATGCATGACCACGCAGCCAGTGAAAAAATTGGCGCAAGGAAGAAGTACAGATATTGGAGACTTCCAGCAATTTCTGTCCCATATGCCTTAGAGGGTGCAGGAAAAAAAATCTAAGGAAAGGAATGATTTATATTCTTTGAAAGTCATAGAACATTGCTGAATCTCTAAAGGGACATTAAGTTGTCATGTGAACATTTGAAAGTATGTAGGTGCTTTTGAACTGCTCAGTTTTACTTAATTTGCTACAGAAAGAACATGCTCTCCCAGGGTATGTTAAGAACACTTGCTTTCTCTCTGCACCTTTCGAATTCTATGATTTTCACTATTTAATGGTAAACTGTCACGTATTCTAGGCCTACTTGGAGTCAATACACTTTTAGAACTCTATCTCTAGTAGAATTATGAGGTTAAAGGAGATGTACCTGTAAATTCTGATTAGTAGTACCAAACTGCTTTCTAAAATAGTTTGACCATTTTATATGTTGAACAGATTTTCATAGTTGAGACTGACAGAATAAAAGGAATGCTAAAGAAATAGCAACTTTCTATGTTCTACAATGTTTTTAAAAAACAAAATTTCCACTAGAGGGAGATGTTTAGCTATCAGAAAATTAAAAAGTAACTAAACAATAAAACTACCTTACTTATAGAATATTGTTATAATAAAATCATAGTAATACAATGTTAGAATGAAAAGCAACCTAGAATCATATTAATTGAATGTTGGAATCAAAAGTATCCTTAGAGATTATCTAGCTCAACCTTCTTATTTTATAGGAAAATACACCCAGAATGTTTGAATGATTACCCATGTTGGCACAGCTATTGTCAGACGTGGTTGGAACATACAAGTTTTTCCCCAAAATTTACTGTTTGGTGTTGGTAACACTGTTGTACAGTTTGTGAGGAGTTGGAAAACTGAAAATTAACATGTGTCAGCATTTGTAGTACATGCAGCATAATAAATCAAATAGGTGGCAGTTTGTGGGGAAAGTGGCAGACTAAGTATATTTTCATAACTACTTTCCCTGAAGCCCTAAGAAAATTAAAAAAAGATTCAAAATAGGGAAATTTCAAAATTAAAAAGAATATTTGGTCTTGGCACAACTTCAACCACTGGGAGCTATAAAAAATAAAATTGACAGCTTGGATAGTCACAGAGGTTTCAGAGACAACCAAGAGCTAGGGCAGAGTTGAAGAATAAGGTTCATATCCTACACATGTCCTCTCCTTCAAGACTGGAGAGATGGCTCTTTCAGCTAATGCATGGAAACCAACATAGATAATCAAATACAATTAAGAAATAGAGAAATGTGTTCCACGCAAGAAAGAACAAGGTAATGCATCAGGAAAAAAACCTTAAACAGAGGTAAGTAATTTACCTGAAAGAGTTCAATGTAATGATCAGAAAGATTCTAACCAAACTTAGGAGAAAAATGGATGAACACATTGAGAACTTCAACAAAGATACGGAAAATGTAAGAAAGTTCCAGACAGAAGTCACAGAGCTAAAGAATACAATAACTGAACTGGAAATACACTAGAGAAGTTCAACAGCAGACTACATGAGACAGGAGAAAGGATCTGTGAACTCAAAGGCAGGGTACAGGAACTCACCCAATCAAGGCAACAAAAAGGAAAAAGAATGAAAAAAAGTGAAGATTAAGGGATTTATGGGACAACATGAAGCTTACTAACATGAAGCCTACTAATTATGGGAATCCTAGAAGGAGAAGAGAGAGAAAGGATCCAAAAACACATTCAAAGAAATAATGGCAGAAAACTTCCGTAAACTGTAGGAACAGTTATCCAGATCCAGGAACCTTAGAGAATTTCAGATGAGAAAAACCAAAAAGACCCACACCAAGACACATTAAAATTAAAATACCAAAAATTAAAGACAAGGAGAGACTCTTAAAAGCAGCAAGAGAAAAACAACTTGTTGTATACAAGGGAATCCCCTAAAGACTTTAAGGAGATTTTTTAGCAGAAACTGCAGATCAGACTAGAGTAGCATAATGTATCCAAAGTGCTGAAAGAAAAAACATCCCAACCAAGAATAATCAACCTGGCAAAGTTACTCAGAATCAAAGCAGAGATAGAAAAGTTTTGCAGAAAAGCAAAAGATAAAGATGTTCATCACCAGTAAACCAGCCTTATAAGAAATATTAAAGGGATTTCTTTAAGTTGAAAAGAAAGGACACTAATTAGTACCAAGAAAACATGA